GGGGTCCTGTGTGTCCTGTGAGGTAAGAGTCTGTTTGGACATAAGAAGGGGATGTGTTTTTACTCTAACCAGTGAGCTGGTTTGCTTGTTTGACACACTTCCCTGTTACTCCGAGATACTAATTACCCTTGTTTGCATGAAATCAAACAGATTACATTCATAACGTCAACTAGCATTTAGTCTTGAACGTACATGCAATGTTTTAAACAAAAAAAAAACTGCAAGTTTCAAATGCAAATATGCATTTTCAATAATAAAATACAAAACAAGTACGTTATGAATGTAATCACAATATAATAATTCTGAGTTATTGGGAGAGTAAACGTTTTCTGTCTTGCTCATAGAAGTATTTTGAATGCTCGATCATTTTCTGGTTACATTTCTGTCTGGATATGTTCATGTACATCCTGGAATGTTACATTTATATATAAGGTATACTTCATAGGTTTAGCATTTACATATGATGGTTGTTACCAAAAATATAGTTGGAAACATGTTATAATAGAACGATAGAAAGCTTAGATTCAGCGTAATAGCTGTATGGTCGTCTGCGCTTAATTTGTAATAAGCTGTATTCTAAAGCAACTTTTTTTTCGAGGGCAAGTGTGTGCGCTTCTGTAAAATATATTTGCATGCTATTTTGGAAAAAAATATTATTTTTTATATTATATTATATATTTACAATATCTATGCACATAGCACAACAGTTCAATTATCATGACATTTATAAAAGTAATGAAATATATTTAATAGGATGATTTCTGTTATTTTAGGGTAATAAAGTCACTTTTATATATTTTCCTGTTTACCAACGAGGAGATTACAGCCACAGACTGTGAGAAAATTGTACACAGTATATCACACATCCTCTAAGAATAGAGTTGCTTATTTTGGTTTAAATTGTGTCCCGAGTTTAATATTTGATATCCCTTAGCCTTGCATTTGTGTACCAAGAGTCTCTATCCTAAAAATGAATTATTTGAATTGTTTCTCCTGCCTGAGGTCTTGTGACACAATAAGGAGAACAATAATCCCAGAATGCCTGCTGCATGTGCCTTCATGGATTTATAATGTTATTATGCTTAAATAATCATGGTTTCCTTTTATTTTTCATCCAACAGCAGCCAAGAGCTTGTTGAACAAGAAGTCAGATGGTGTGAAGGTGGGTTAAATCTGTTTCCTATTCATCTTTTGGCAAAACTAAGATGTATAAAGAACATCAGTACTTGGCAAAGCCTGAGAATAATCTTGCAGCAGAACATTGTGCATCCTTTAGGTTTGCATTTGTTTTTTGGACGTTTTTCCCAGAAATTCTGAGGTCTTTAATTGGATCAGTTTCCAATTCAACAACAATATAGTTAATATATTAGAGTGCTGTGTGGCATTTTGATCAATTCCATTTCAATTCCAATTTTCAGGTTTTATTTAGGAAATTGTTTACATTTTTGGCAATAAAAATTTATTTGGACCTTTCAGTCATTAATAAAATGTTTAGTTTCTTCCCTGAATTTGCTGGAAATTAAATGGAATTACCCATCATTGTCACTTTTAATTAATTTTGAATGTGTATATGAATGTATATGAATGTGTATTCCATTGTTTTTAATTTTTAGCACTATGGGGGGAATTCACTAAAAATGATTTTTAGGGATTCACTAAAGAAATGATGCAAATCAAGTAAAAAGTACGGACACCATGCAGACAAACATCTTTTTTGCTTCTGAATGCAGATCATTAGAAATAAATTGCAATCTAAATAAGCCTAATGTAGAAAGGAGGACTTGTTTCCTAAAATGAACAATTACTTTTTGAATACATGGAACAGCACTATGCCAGACAGCACAAAAGATGCGGGTTTTTGTGTTGAAATACTATTTAGTGAATTTGCCCCATACTTTTCCCCCAATATGTTTCATTTCCCGAGTTTCTTGTTTCAGTTTGCTTTCTGTTCTAGAATTGTATTTTCTGATCATTTCTTCTAAAACAATTCATAAGAGGTTTCTGACACAAATTTAAAAAAATGTGATGTTGGTTTGTCGCATGTGTTACTCATGTGTCTTATGTCTTTATCAGATTTTACATAAGAAAAAATGAAATTAATTAGGCAACTCTCACAAAACATATTTTTTAAAAATAAGTTAAGAAAGGATATAAATTATTTTAAAAAATACATGTGTTGTTGTTAAAAAATAATAATAATGTGCATTGCCAATCACAACCTATTTTACTTTCATAATGTGACATTTTAAACAGGATATTCCACTTGAAAATATATAGTGGTGGGACTTGTATTTTAAGCATCAGAAAAGAATAACAATGCCTAAATGGCTATTTGGTGATTTGGTTAACATTATCCAGTAGCCCACTGGCCACTTTGATTAATATTATAAATATATAAATTTTTTATTAAATTGTTTTTTTGGGGGGGGGAGGTATTGTGCACGAATGAATCATTCACCATAAGACCTTAATGCAGAAACATGCAATAAGAAAGTAAATGGGTGCAATTTTGGTATATGGTAAGTATAAAAAGTTAATTTATAAAGCAAAAAACAGAAAATAATTAATTAATTAATTAATTTTGAAAAAATCTCAGGACCTTTAATTTTATAATTCAATTCTTTTGTTATTTGTGGCACAATATGTGCACAATTTTTGTTTGTGAGTTGCTGTATCATCAGATCATCCATCATCAGTTCCCTCATGCGTATCTGTGTTCCTCAGTATATCTGTGTATTTCTACATCTGTGTATTTTGGATGCCCTGTCACAACACTCCTGTTGTCCCCCAGTCTTGTGTAATTTTGTAACCCTAGTGTGATGCAGTAAACCCCATCAGTGTGATATTTGGTAATGTGTGATCTGCTCCTCATCCCACTTGCAGGTTAACAACAAAACCAACCTAGCCAGCAGCCCCAAAGACACAGGCCCCGCCCCAGCACTGGTACCCACGACAACAACCCCGCCCCTTGCACGACATCACCCCTGTAGACCCTCCCCCTGTAACCAACAAGCCAGATTTGCTTACCTTTTCATCATACCACAATAGCTCTGTTCCAAAACCCAGTGAGCTGCCTTATTGTCTACTACCTACATAGGCAACTAGTTTCCAAGGCAACTATCAAACATTCTCATAAGTGATCAAATGAACACAAATGGCGTTCCTGCATAAAGCAAATTATACAATTCACATTTGATTCTAGCATATTTAAATGTTAGCATGTTGCTAAGCTAACACAAGCAGAAAACATATACCCAGATGTTGGGTGAAATACTGAAACTTTAATTGGGTTGTACTATTTTTCATGTTTCAGTACATACAGTACATATATTTTTAGTCAATATTTCTTATGTTGCATTGCATTCTGGGATTGGTTCGTCTTAAAAGGATATTTATGATGCTGCCTTAGGATTTTGTCTAATGTTGCTGCCTATATTTTGGAACAGCTTTGGCATTGTTTGTCTAGATTGCTCATGCTAATGCTAATAAGCTAATGCTTCACTTTTATGCCTTAAACTGAGTACAGTATTTTTAAGGTATATAAACTAACTTAAGATCATGTGAACGTCATATTTTCATATCAAGCTAAAATGAAAGACAACATATGCAAGGAAAACCAAGGGTTTGTAAATCTGGCACTGTTGGTGTGTCGTCTAACCAAAGTTCAGATTCCTTGCATGATTTTACTCTCCTCTCATGTCACCTTTATGTCACACATGTGTTGTTCTTCCATTTGAACTCTTAATTCCAGGAAATTTAGGGTTGTATTCAATCAAATTGTCTTTGAAACATCAAAAGTGACTGCTGCTACTTGATGTTTTGCAATGATATAGTTTTATGGCATCTCAAGCACAAAAATCCATATAGCGCTTGTGGTTTTGCTTGCACAGTCATGGTGTATTGCCATTAGCCTACTATTTTTGCCCATTGTATTTCCCATTTGTTTAAATCTTAATCTTGTTGAATCAGATTGTCTTTCTCTGGCAAATGCATAATTGAAGTATTGGAGTGAATGTTTTGCAGTGCATGGCTGGTGTTAGCATTGCTTTGATAGGGTCATACGCTTGGAGCTCTTTGCTGTCTGTAGCTTGACATTGTTTGCCTTCCATAATGACACAGACATGCATGTAAACAAATGTCTCTCAGACTGACGATACTGTGACGCACATGTACTGACACACATAGACTATTTCTCTCTCTATCTTCTGTCACACACACACACACACACACACACACACACACACAGTGGGTGATGTTTCTTAGACAAATGACAAGTGTGTGTATGTAATCTTCTCTAATCTGGTGGTCATTAGACAAGACATCATCAGTTCCACTTAGTCCTGCTCCAAGACCACCAGGCTGATTAATTACATTGTATCTGTCAGGGTATGTGTGTGTATGTGTCTGTGACCTAGGGATCACCTCATAGCAGTGATCCACAGCTTGTTTGTTTTAAAGAAAGAATATATCATATTGCAGGAGAAAACTGATCCAAAATCTATAGAATTTCTTGCGATTTATTTAGTAATTCCCATAAACAGCAAATCAGATAAATGGCAAGCAATGCATTTAAAAGACATACAGTAATATATATGTCCATGGTTTTCACCGATATAAAAATATGCCACATATTTGTACTATGTGTATTTTAAGCATACACTACAAATCAAACGTTTTTGAAAGTAGTATCTCATTCTCATCAAGGCTGCATTTATTTGATCAAAATACAGTAAAAACAGTAATATTTATCCCCCTTGTGATCTTTCCGAAATCATTCCAATATGCTGATTCGGTGCTCAGGAAAGATTTCTTATATCAATGCTGAATTATTGATCATATATTTTATATATATTTTGCGTGTAATATTTGCCATATATCTGATTTCTGTATGGGGGCAGTTAGAGCTAAATGCTTTTGCTATTCTTTGTGCTTTTGTTAATTGCTATTTGGTATTGTATGTGTGCACATGATTGTACTTCATTTTAAGTTGCTTTGGTAAGAAAATGCCTGCTAAAATATATTTTAAAGCTATGCCAGATCCAATTATACTCCAAACAAATTGGACATTTTTGTTCCATCTCTGCATGAGCCGAACTGGATAAGGAGCCATTTTAGAGAATAATGATATGACTAATGAGTCTACTTCCAAAATATTAGAGGACAAATGCACATGCATAGAGATTTCAGGTTTATTTTTGAGGTTGGCGATTTAGTGTTTATTTAGTGTTGGCGATATGCATGGAAAACTTTCATCATGAATGGGAGGAAGAAGGCTGTGTGTGTGTGTGTGTGTTTTGGATGGGGTCATTTGCATTTGCAATTCCATGCATGTTGTGTCTGGTACACAGCCATTATATGCCATTATGCTTATTCTTTTCCATATACAAATAATGATCTTTTTTCAATCCCTTTCACTATTTCAGGAGCCACAAACTACCGTGATCCACAACCCAGTGGACAGAAACAAGGTAATATGACGCATTTTTGTTAGCGGAGGTGTATCGAAAATAGCGACACCAAATGAGACTGTGTCCAGTGTCCAGTCTGAAGGTGATTCATATGTATTCGTTCACATTTCTCCAGGAGTCTACAGAGAGTGCCAACACAACTATCGAGGACGAGGATCTTAAAGGTAAAGCTTGGCGTTTTCCTGGCCGCGTGTCTGCCCGTAGACGTGCCATTTGTTGCCGTTTTCCCTCCCCAATATGTCTTCCATCTGTGCTTCTCCTCAGTCATATGTATACTCTTTCTTGTTTATTTTCCCCAACGAATTTGTATTGCCCGTTGCAGCCATTCTCTCCTCCCCTTCATCCTTTGTTCGTTTCCCCGCATAAGGGTGTTGGTTTCAGTATTTCTTGTCGAGTGTGCTATTTGAAATGTCTTCTTTTTCGTTTGTCCTGCTCCTGTTGTTTCTTCCTCTTATTGGTTCAATGTACAGCCAGACGCTTTGGAAACCTCAGCATTAATTCAATCTGGCAACCTGCGGGCGGCCCGCAAAACTCCGAGCCCAAGCAGGCGCCCAACTCCTCGGTGCAGAGTAAGTCCGTAATGGGCAGGAGACAAAATCACCCCGTCCTCCCCTAACGTCGTTCAAATCCTTGTATGAACGAGAGGCCCCTCAAAAAAATAAAATCTGCCCTTTTAAGGATACTTTTTAATTGACAACTCCAAACTTCATTCCTCATCAATGCTCCAAATGTTTTAATCCATCCAGCTGTTTCTATCAGACACACGTCTGTGTCTGCCTATTCTTCACGGACTGTGCATTTAAGGCCAAGAATATCATAAATCACAATAGTTATAAAGAACACATCAAATTCTAATTTAGCCTAGCATTAAAACCATTTCATCTATCTGGTTTTCGAGAAAAAAACGCCAACTCCAGTCTGTGAAGGAGAGGGAGACATAGATGCGTGTAGCATGTGTTAGATAGGCCTGATGGATTAAAAGCAAATCTCTGAATCAATAGAGAGATGCTCAAGTCGATGGGAAATCAGGTTTTAATGTGTAAGTACCAGAACGTTCTTTCAATGCGCTCTTCATGAAAAGACACCCTCTCACTTTCTCAAACGCTCTCGACGTGGGAGAAAGACTAGCGCTCTTCATTCTTGCCAGAAAACCACCTGACTGCCTTTTAGCTCTCTATAGGTGCTTGAGGCCTTCCGGTTGCACCACTAACAAACCTCTTCTCACTGAAAAGACTGTTCAGTTGACCTTTTGCCCCTGTGTCCTAGGACTAGAGTCTACATTATCCTGTATTGCACCCAACATTCCTAATACGGAGAGATCCACTGCACTAGGAGTGTACTTGCTCCAGTATCCCATCCTGCTCCATGCCCGAGAGCCTGATGTTTGCTCCTTCTGTTTAGTATCTCTCCCCCTTCTCACCAATCCAACCTGAAAAAAAATCTAGATTTATTTGTGTATATTTAAACAAATAGACCCGCTTTGGATTTGTTTAAGCTCAGTAATATGGAATGGACCTAAACCAGTATTGAAAGGACAATACGCTGTTTTTCAACGTCAGATTCTATTTGCACTTTATGTTGACATGACCATGAGACAAAAAGCATTTTGTCTAGATTCTGTGTTTCACATGATGAAAAAGAAATATTTTTGATGTTATTTTAGGGCTGTCAATAGATGACAAATATTCATTGAATTAAATGCAGTTTTCTGATTAATCAAATTAACTGCAGTTAAACATTTACATTAATTCCAATACATTTAGAAATGAATGTTAAATGTTTAAGACGTTAATCCCACTAAATAACACAAGTGACAGCCCTGATTCTTTTACTATTGTTATTTTTTAACAAAAAAAAAACATTCTGATATCTAATGAAACACAGAGGAGAATGGTGTTTCCACATATGCTAACAGCGGCATTATGCTGAATAATGAAAATGATGTTGAAAAAAGGTTGAAGGCCCCATGTTACAAAGCATGTCCATGTTAAGAGAAAACAAGCATTAGATGGAATGCTTTTCTGAAGTAAAGTCCTCTGTTTCTCATTTGAAAGCCGCAAACCCTTTTCCATCTCATTTGTCATTCAGTGCCTTCCGGGCGAAAGACATCAGCTAGAAGACGTATCCATGCCTTTTTTTCTTTTCATCTATTAATTTGCAGACACCATAAACTCAGTGCTGGAGAATGAGTGATTTAATGATATAATTAAGATTTCACATTAAATGAACTGTTAAATATTAAAAGTACAAAGTAACGTCTTTTTGCCCGGTGGGCTGGAGTTATTATGTCATCATCAGTAGACGTAGATACATTGCACTAGTTTTATTTGGTGCTTTCATAAGAAATTGCCTTTTTGACCAATTATGAGCCATCTCTTTGCTGTCCCTTAGCTTGCCAAGTTATCAATAAAGGTAAATTTAAACTTTAATACTTTGAATGAAAGTGTTGCCTGTGATTTTCTACCAGTAAACACTGCTCATTCTGAAACTCACCGTAGAGCACTAGGAGTACTAGGAATACGCTTTCCTTTGGGTGCCCTTTGTTTACCGAGTGTCAAAATTGTCTCTTGTTAATAATAAAGAAAACGGAACAACTACAGATTGTACATAGTCATTATATAATATTCACACAACCTCTATGTAAGCCAATTAGGGCTGGGTGATATAACCTCTTATAAAATCTTATTTGAAATCTATATATCTCAATATTTACAGAATGTATTTACTCTGAAATGGCTTGGAGGATGGAATTTTTTTCTGTCACACTTTATTTTAAGGTCCAACTCTCACCATTAACAAACCATTAACTATGATTTTTGCCTCAATAAACTCCTAATTTGCTGCTTATTGTTAAGTTTAGGAATTGGGTAGCGATGTGGAATATGGTCATGCAGAATATGTGCTTTAATAAACAGCCAATATGTTAATAATAGGCATGCTAATAAGCAACTAGTTAATAGTGAGAATCGGTCCCTATACTAAAGTGTTGCCGTTTTTCCTTTTTAGTTAAAGTTTGTTAATTTTTTATAGAAGTAGTCAGGTCCAGTTTTCCATGGTTTTTCACTAAATGAACAAGAAAATGTATATTTTATTTAAATGCATATGTAAACTAATACATTACCTTTATTTATTATGCCATGCAGGAACTAAAGTAAACATGAGTGTTGTCGCAAAAGAATCATTCAATCAGTTTTGAATTGATTCAATTAAATCAATGAATTAAACTTACGAACAGTCAACATTTTGTACATTACTGAACATTAATGAAGTTTAAATACACATTTCTGAGAGTGTAGTCAAAAAATGATTGTGAAACTGGTCTAATTACAGACTCTTTAAGAAATGTAATGGCCAAATAAAAAGTGCTAATTATGATATTTATGATTCATTGCTAATATATCACCCAGCCCTGAAGCCAACTAAAACCTGCAAAGACAGAAGCGATAAAGGTTCACTGTAAATTTTGTCTGGTGCTTTCTAAACAAAGGTTTGCATTTTGTGGATTGCATAAATTCAGACAAGTTTTGAAATGAGTTGGGATGTTGAATAATAATATTGGTTCTCATGCTGCGAGGGTGTCTGACTCACTCGCTAGACGTCTCTGTGTGTTTCAGCTCGAAAGCAGGACATCATAAAGGTGACTGAACAGCTGATTGAATCCATCAACAACGGAGACTTTGAGAGTTACGCGTGAGTGAACGGTCAAACCTGTTGCTATGACAACCACAGAACGCTAATGCATTCCTTTATTTTCTCTTGATTACTGAGATTATATTTAATGGTCACCTTTTCACAACAGGTGCTCCATCTATATTTAGATCCAAGCCTCACTTAATTACAGCTTTTGATGGGCAGAAATGGGAAGATTTCTAGTGTTTTTTATTTTTTACCAATGTCTGCACACAAATGAAGACTTTTAGCTTTACTTTCTACTCTTTATATCACAGAAAGATTTGCGATCCTGGTCTTACTTCCTTTGAGCCAGAAGCTTTGGGAAACCTGGTGGAGGGGCATGACTTTCACAGGTTCTACTTTGAGAATGGTATCTAGATCCATATCTTTTCACACTCAAAACTTAAAGAGAATATAGTTTTACAACAGTATTTTGATCACCGTATTTCTTTGTCATCTCCTTTAGCACTGTCCAAAGGTAATAAACCTGTACACACTATCCTACTGAACCCCCACGTGCACCTGATTGGGGAGGATGCAGCATGTATCGCATACATCCGCCTGACCCAGTACATGGATGGCAGTGGGATACCACGCACCATGCAGTCAGAGGAGACCCGCGTCTGGCACCGTCGAGATGGCAAATGGCTGAACATACACTTCCATCGCTCTGGAGCCCCCAGCGTGCCCATCAAGTAAGACTCATAGAGTGTCTCTACTGTTTAATGTATGCGATAATAAATGTCACGATCACAAAAGGGTCATTCTCAGGAAAGTGCGTGAAAAGGTTTTTATCATTTCATTTGAAAAGGTTTCTGCAGAGTGACCTTTCAAGAAATCAAAATTTGAAACACATACTTTTATTCAATGAGGATGCATTAAAGGGATAGTTCACCCAAAAAAGTAATTAATTCAGTCATTAATTACTCACCCTCCTGTCGTTCCAAACCCGTAAGTCCGGGTTTCATTAAAAAATATCTTCATTTGTGTTGCGAAGATGAATGAAGGTCTTACGGGTTTGGAACGATATGAGGGGGTGGGTAAAGGGGTCATCGGATGCAAAATTCACTTTTACATGCTGTTTGAACATAAATGTGTGTTGGCAGTTTGTGTACACATCCACCCTATAATGATAAAAATCTACCCAGTGCTTTTTTTTTTTTAAATCCCCAATAATAACGATCACTTTCTCAGATCAGGCTGTTCTGAGATTCTTGGCAAAGTGACCAAAGTCCCTTTCAAGGAAAGTCCGTTCACTCGGCCACCATATTTGCAACGCCTCCAGGCAGCTCAAACAAGACCAAGTCTAATCTAAATGAATGGGGGAATCCTGAAATCTCAAAAACTGCTCGCTGAACTTGCGATTAAATTACATATTTCAAATCAGCAACAAAATCTAAAATGAACTGCCCCATGAATGTTGTTTCTTATGCTCAAATAGCATTTAAAAAGCGTATTTTTCAGGCTAGACCAGCCAATGCGCATGCGTAGTTCCAACGCGTTTATGACTATGCACACGCATCAGCTAAAGCCGCTAAAGACACAGTGGATTACGTTTGTTTTTGAAGGGAATGCGCCCCCCGATCTACCTAAATGCGTTTGTGTTCACGCAAATCATTTGTGATCCAGCTTCACCTCCAGAAAAAGTGAGTATTTTTATGAATCTTTGCAAATTGCCTTTCCCAATAATGTGCTAGTTAGCAAGTTCCGCGGCTAAATGCAGCTAAAGTTGACAGTGTCATGAGAACGGCTCGTCACTCCACAGAAGAAAGGGGCGGGGTGAGCAGAGCTCATTAGCATTTAAAGGGACATGCACCGAAACGGGTCACTGTGAACAGAGCTGTTTTTGACAGGGTAAAAAGGGTGTTGTTTTACACTACCATGGAGAAATTTGAACCAAAGTATGTTATAGACTTTTCATTAAGACCCTAAAGAATCATATCAACCATTGTGGAAAATGGGCATCCGATGACCCCTTTAATGACAGAATTTTCATTTTTGGGTGAACTATCCCTTTAAATTGATCCTAAGTATATAATGTTACAAAAGATTTCTATTTTATAATTGTACATTTTTATTTAATTAATTTGTAGTACGCTTATTTTGTTTTATTTTTATGCTGTTCTTTTGAACCTTCTGTTGATCAAAGGACCCTGAAAACAAATGATTGCAGTTCAGTGAAAATGAAAAAGAAAATGAAAGCAGCACAATTGTTTTTAACATTCATAGAAATAAGAAATGTTTCTTGTGCACTAAATCAGCATAATAGAATGAATTCTGAAGGATCTTATGACACTGAATGAAAGTAATGCCTGCTGAAAATTCAGTTTTGCCATCACGGGAATAAATGATATTTTAAATGTATTAAAATACAAAAAGAGTTATTTTAAATTTGAATAATATTGAACAATATTATATATTAAAAAAAAACCTTGGTGAGCAAAAAAAAAAAACTTCCTTCAAAAACATTCAAAATTTTTAATAGTAGCATATATTTGAGGACACATATTCAGAGCTAATGACTTGAGGCTTGATATGTTATGACCTGTTATTGCTCCTTGTGGCTTATTTGGGCAAACTGAAGAAATATCACATTAACATTAACATTACTTCGTAATTTAGTGGAATTTGCTAATTCTAATTTAATATCATGCTTATTTCTAAATGTTATTGATGTGTGTTTGTTTGTGTGTATATTTTATAGTTAATGGAATATTAAGCTTCAATTTTTCCCAACTGAGGAGAAACCATCAGCAAAAACCCAACTGTCTGTCAGTCAAGCTGGAGGTGTGTCTTCTGAGCCACACCTGCTTTCCAACAACCACGCCCCTCTCCCCTCCCCCCTCGAGGGTCGTTTACATGTTATCGCACATGGACCAGATAATTCAAACGTTTTGCTAAAGGTCATCACCTACACCAAAACCTGTGGGCCATTCGCATATATGGACATTATTAAAAGGAGTGTATTTTTAACATTTTATTTTCCGTTTCATTTTTTTAAGCTGTTTTGGTATGCATTTTAAATGTATAGATATGTAAAGAGAATCACCTTTCCCCAAGTCTGTACTGTATTTTTATGTCTATTTATGTGTGTGCAATATATCAAATTTTGAAAGATAAGAATGTTAATATTGAGCTTGCTATTGTTCTGGTGATGTACATATGTCGTGATCGTTCAGATAAAAAAAAAAGATAAAATAAAAATCTTAAAAAAAAAAAAAAACTTTAAGAAACTTTTTAAAAAATACGTACTTTTGATTCTGGCTTACAGCAAAATTAAAAATTTTAGTAAATGCTGTCAAAAAGCTTTGTTTATATTTGCTAGTTTACAATGTTTGGCTCCTTAAAGATTCTGATTTACTTTATTTGATTTTAGAGAACTGCAGAATACTAATATGGACTGTATTGTTTACCTTTATGTCATAGAATACGAGAAAAAAAAACGGATATCAAAGAGAATGTAGCATATATGATACATCAAATATTGACAAGCATTGGGTAATGCATGGAGGACTATTTTTTGAATGACCATGCTATAATTTGTTTCTTTTTGCTCTTGTTTATGTTGTGTAATTCATGGTTTCCTTATCAAATTGTTTATTTCTATCAATATCATAAGGATCTGATGTGGTAATGATAATAGCGATTATCATCATTACGACCCAACATATCTAGAAGTATCACCCTACTTTCAGATCGATGTAGCTTCATTTTCCTATATTGAGTGGCTGTGAAAATATTATCCTTTGACTTTATATCATGGCTGTATGAGAAAAAGAAATATAAGTAGCTTATGAGAAACTACATGTATCATTTTCACACATATTTGTGCTTTTTATTTATCCCGACATTATTTTCGCCCATGGCAAGAAGAGCGAAATTGAGCCGAGCCTGATTTACAAGCATGCACACTGCCCTAGTGGTGACTTAGTGTCTGTGCACCACTCAGTCAGAAGTTGATGTCATACAAGGTGATGTCGGAATGGAACGGTCTTCCTTGAGGAAAAACCTCACCACTACTGGACTATGCCAACACCATGCTTTCCGTTTTCCTTTTTCTCTTCTTAAAGACATTTCCTCTGCTGATACTTACAGAACCTCAATGCCAATATGAGGATGTGAACTACATAATTTGTTGCCATGGTGGCGCTAGCAAATCAACATATTTAATGAAAAATTCAATAAATGTGTGATATGTACTGTATGCATGGTCATGTTTCAATTTCCTCTTCAAACACAACCATAAAATAATGACCATAACGTGACACTTATACACTTTTATTCTCGTTCAGCCATATACACACACTGCAGCCAAGGTATAGTGTTTAAATGTCTTTTTTAAAAGTCATATAGTAAACTAATACATGCCTTTATGGATAGATATTTATGTACTATATATATGCATATTCTTATCTCCACAGACGTAGAATGCGGATTCAGTAAATCAAACGTGGGCCAGTCACAGTGAAAGTAGTAGCAGTGTTCAACTTAATGACATTGCTGTGTTTAGAGGATGACTTTTGAAATGCTGTTCCAGGGCCAGTTTCCCCAAACGCAAATTATTATAAGGGGAAAAAAGCAGAGCTGGCCTCAGATCAGCAGCAAAAACAACCTCTGCTAACACAGCTGTATTAATCTGCAGTTCAAAGGAAAAGTCATTTGAATATCACATGGTACGCTCTCCTTCCCAAAAGTCTCAACTGAAGCCAACCTGTGATTTGGTGAATCATAAAGAGAATACTCCCACTTGTGTATAATAAACGAAATATATCAAAATAAAGCATTCTTTAAAAAAAAAAAAAAAAAAAAAACATACATCCCTTATGCTCACTTCCGAAACCAGTAAGATTTTAAAAGCATTCACCATCATAAATACCTCAAAGCAAGATTCCTCGACACATACTGATGTTGAGCAGTATGTACAGAACAAAATGAATATAATTTGAAAATAAAAATCACATTTTCAAATTTCTGATTTCACACACACACACACACTCACTCAAAAACACATACGTAAAGAAATGAATAAATTCAGATAAAAATAGAATATGTGTAACTGATTACTTGAATTTGATTCCACCTTTGCTTCCTGAGTCCCTCTTGAAACGCTTGCTAAAGTGAGTTTAAAACCATAAAGCGCATGTTAATGTGTTCTATTACAACAAAAAGCTGCACTGAAATGTGATGATGATGACGACTAGAATTGCTACAGATCACGGACACAAAGAGAAACAGAAAAATGACAGTCGTCTAACCACAGAAAGAGTCTTATTAATAAGTGACTGCTGCTAGCTAAGCATGCCTGCTAATATCCTTACAGGTGGCTAATGTGATCTACTGTCATTTTAAAAATGCATATTATATATACTCTCCATGGATAGAATACACAGACACACGATACCCCAACAGCTGATAAAGAAGGCAAGAAGTTTTCAGACATCTCAACCGCTGAAATCAAAATAGCATGTCATGATGTGGTGATATAATGCAACGATATTCAATAGTTGTGGTAGGCAGTGCATTACAGGTTCTGTTAGTTCAAGCTTAAATGTTCTGAGTATGAACGACCAGGACTTTGTTTTTCTCGCTCTCTTTTGATAAAAACGTTTTTGGTTATTGTGATTTTTGTGTGTGTGTGTGTTCATTGGTGTTATAACTGAGGGATTTAAAAAGCAAAGGAAAGCAAAGGAAAGGAAAGAACACCATTTGGTCACAATGAAGGACAGAAATAGATAAACACTTGTGGTAAACTGGGGAAAATAAGGAGAGAGAAAATATTGTCCATTGACTTAAACTGGGCAAACATCCAGTTTGACTGGACAGGAAGACTGGAAGTGGCAGGAGTGAAGTGCACTCTGGGATTGCATGAGCATGGTGCATAGGAGTGGTTAGGAGAGCAGACAGGCTCAAAGAGAGAAGCGATGGAGATAGGGAGAGGAAAATGAAGGGGGAAACCATCAATCGGACTTCTCCGGTTTCCTCCCTCTCTTCCTCTCAGTCGTTTTGGGCACAGTAGTGGTGAATGAGGTGATGGAGGTGATGCTGTAGGTTGTCATGGGGCTCAGACCGATCGTCTATCTGCTCCACGCACACCTGCTTCTGTCCCCCAGCATCCCTCACTACTGATCTCCTGTGGGTCCTAGACTTCTGCATCCTCGTCCTGTGAGTGAGAAAGAAAGAAACAGGGTAATCAATGCTTTTATGTCTATTCCAAAGGTTCGAAGTGGAAAAAAACATGAATTTTTCTTTTTAAGTGTACATTTAAGATGCAAGTGCACATATAAGATTCTTTTAAGTGTGCATTCAGAAGACTGATATAGGAGAGAGGAAGACAAATGTTATTAGAGAGAAATAAAATGTAAAGACATGCTTTGTTAACAAATATACACACACCAATGCCAAATATAGAAAATTACAATTCCCAATACAATCTCTACAGAACATTTGCATGAATATATTACATACAGTACCAAACATTTGGGTAAGATTTCTTGTTGTTGTTGTTGGTTTAGAAATTAATACTTTTATTTAACAAGAATACATTTCAATTGATCAAACGTTACACTAAAGTTTACTATTATGAACTAAATTGTGTTGCTATATGTCACAGTTTCCACAAAATTATTACATTTTCAACCATTTTCAACATTGATAATAAAAGTTTCTTGCGCACCAAATAAGCATATTAGAATGATTTCTGAAGGATCATGTGACACTGAAGACTTTGCCACCACAGGAATAAAATACAATTTCAAAAATATTAAAATATAAAACTGCTATTTGAAATTGCACTAATATTTCATAATATTTCAATTTTTACCGCATTTTTGATCAAATAAATGTAGCCTTTGTGAGCATAAGAGCATTAAAAAACATACTGACCCCAAAGTTTTGAAGATAGTTTTTTTTTTTTTTTTTACTTCTACTTGCCCCCATAAACACACTTTCACACTAATATGCACACAAAAGGGTGAATGGATGGATGATGAATGGGTGAATGGATGGATGATGAATGAATGAATGAAAAAATTAATAAAATCTTCCATCCATCCTTTGAATGAATGAATGAATGGGTAGATAGATGCAAGGGTGGATGGATGGATGGATGGATGAAAGGGTGAATGGATGAAAGGATGGATGGATGAAAGGGTGAATGGATGAATGGATGAAATGATGGATGGATGAAAGGGTGAATGAATGAATGAATGAATGGATGGATTGATGGATGGATGGAATGATGGATGGATGAAAGGGTGAATGGATGGAAGGATGGATAGAAGGATGAAAGGAAGGGTGGATGTCTGTTGGAGGAACATCAAAATAAAGTGTTAGCAGACTGACTGGTAGTTGACATGTAATTGTAAATGTACTTAAAGTTAGTAGAATGTCTAGACGTGGACTATCAAATAAGTGAAAGTGAAAAGTGAAAGTGACGTGACATGTGGCCAAGTATGGTGCACCACAGGAATAAAATACAATTTCAAAAATATTAAAATATAAAACTGCTATTTGAAATTGCACTAATATTTCATAATATTTCAATTTTTACCGCATTTTTGATCAAATAAATGTAGCCTTTGTGAGCATAAGAGCATTAAAAAACATACGGACCCCAAAGTTTTGAAGATAGTTTTTTTTTTTTTTTTTTTTTTTTATTTTCCCCAAACACACTTTCACACTAATATGCACACAAACACCATGCCTGTCTCTCAAACCTTCTGATCACAGATCCATCAGGCTGCAGTATTTTCTGCTCTACCACTTGAGGAATCTGCACCTTCCTAAAACCTCCAAAGTAGCTTAGAGCCTGAGGGAATGAGGCACACACTACATTAACACTAAATTATATATTATAAATTATATTATAATAGTCAGAACAGCTGTTAGTCACAGATGTAATTACTTTCTCAGGACCAGCCATGGCATTTATATAATTTTATCACAGGTTTCTGGTTGCATAATATAAAAAGCTGATAAACTGGAACAAACTGTGAAAGAACTTTTGGTTAGAAAAAAAATATTACAGGCATAATATTAAGACAGTGGTAATTCTGCACTTTTCCTCATTAAAATGACCCTAATCTTTAAAATCTGATGTTTTATAGATGTCAGAAATGACTGCTGTGATTGGCAGCTCACCTGGGTGAAATCCTCCCGGGCTGAGGGCAGGTCTGAGGCAAGATAAGGATCCCCCTCATGCTTTTCCAGCTGTTCTCCATGTACCATCGTCGTCTGGACCACCTGTCTGACCTCTTGACCTAGAGCAGATTCACCCTTGGAAGATGACATGCCATCTTGCTCATGGAAAGTCACCTGAAATGAAATAAAACATTTAGCAAAACTCATTAAATGGCTATATTTTGATTAAGTGATTTCATTAAGTTGATTAGATTAAGTTAATTTAGTTTTAGCATCACACACCTCTGTCTGATGTCCTTCGCTTTTCAGTACTGTCCTTTTTATTACTTTTGAGTATCCATCCCCTGGTGCCACATTGACAGGCTGCTGGGGGGAGCCCTCCATCCTCACCTGCTCTGTCTCCACCCCATCAGATGACACACATCGTCGAATGACCTTCCTGGTCACCTGAGAAGGTGAGAGAGTAAGATAAACAAATTTGTACGGATATGATGTATTTAGCATAAATCCATTGTTGATCAGTCGGATGGATGGAAGGAAGGAAGGAATGAAAGAAGGAAGGAAGTGTAGATAGATGCATGGATGAAAGAGTGAATGGATGTTTGGATGGATGCAAGGGTGTATGGATGGGTGGATGGAAGCAAGGGTGGAGGGATGGATGGATGGATGGCTGGATGAATGAATGAATGAATGAATGCATGAATGGGTAGATGGGTGCAAGGGTGGATGGATGGATGGAAGGGTGAAAGGATGGATGGATGAAAGGGTGAATGGATGGATGATGAATGGGTGAATGGATGGATGATGAATGAATGAATGAAAAAATTAATAAAATCTTCCATCCATCCTTTGAATGAATGAATGAATGGGTAGATAGATGCAAGGGTGGATGGATGGATGGATGGATGAAAGGGTGAATGGATGAATGGATGAAATGATGGATGGATGAAAGGGTGAATGAATGAATGAATGAATGGATGGATTGATGGATGGATGGAATGATGGATGGATGAAAGGGTGAATGAATGAATGAATGAATGGATGGATTGATGGATGGATGGAATGATGGATGGATGAAAGGGTGAATGAATGAATGAATGAATGGATGGATTGATGGATGGATGGAATGATGGATGGATGAAAGGGTGAATGGATGGAAGGATGGATAGAAGGATGAAAGGAAGGGTGGATGTCTGTTGGAGGAACATCAAAATAAAGTGTTAGCAGACTGACTGGTAGTTGACATGTAATTGTAAATGTACTTAAAGTTAGTAGAATGTCTAGACGTGGACTATCAAATAAGTGAAAGTGAAAAGTGAAAGTGACGTGACATGTGGCCAAGTATGGTGACCCATACTCGGAATTAGTGCTCTGCATTTATCCCATCCAAAGTGCACACACACAGCAGTGAACACACACACACCGTGAACACACACCCGGAGCAGTGGGCAGCCATTTTTTGCTGCGGCACCCGGGGAGCAGTTGGGGGTTTGGTGCCTTGCTCAAGGGCACCTCAGTCATGGTATTGAAGGTGGAAGAGAGCGCTGTACATTCACCCCCCCCACCTACAATCCCTGCCGGTACGAGACTCGAACCCGCAACCTTTGGGTTACGAGTCCGACTCTCTAACCATTAGGCCACGACTTCCCCC